TCTCTCTCTCTCTCTCTCTCTCTCTCTCTCTCTCTCTCTCTCTCTCTCTCTCTCTCTCATAAGCTCTCTCATGAGCTCTCTTAGTCTCATTGCTTTGGCTACCTTAGGGTTGCGTTCCCCGCGCCCACGCGAGAAATCATTCAAACTGTGAAATAGATCGCGTTGGTGAAGATTCACATACATCCGACCAATAGCAAACCGAAGTGGAAACAATGACATGCAAAGGATGAAAACATACAGAAGGAATAGGCATAAAAGAAGCAGAGGGAAGATAATAGAAAATTAGAGTCAACACGTTGCGTCACCAAACTCCTGAACGCAGCGGGATGAGCCATAAAAAATCATGAAGTACAAGGCTCATCAGAGTTCGAACCAAAGGTAGGCGTCACGCCTATCATCGTCAATATTCATGCGAGCAGCTGGCGGATGACCCGACGTTTCGTCCCGTCGTCAGAACAAGGACTCATCAGAAGGCTTTCAGCGAACGGCGAAGATAGTAATGACTACGAGTCGACAGGTATCAATAGAAAGGTCCTACCGGTAGACCTATGTTACGAACTAGCCCAAGTCACAAAGTACCTGTCAAAAGATCGAAACAACGCGAGAGTACGAACCCAAAAAAATTGAGGCAAGGTCCTAAACCGCTATCCCCAAAGTCAGTTGAATGCGATACAACTAAAAAGTCGGTCCAGAAACATCGCCAGATTGGGGCCTCTCAAATTCAGTCCGCCTGGGCCCTCCGATATTGCCCTGTTAGGCTTAACAACCTAGTAGGTCCCCCAATATTCCCGCGTCCCAGGACACGATCCCAACCAGTAAGAAAACTCAACCAATCATCCCAACATCCACTGTATTTGCCAGAGAAGTTTAGCAGCGCACCATAAAAAAATTCATCATCAAATCCTCGAAGACGCAACTCCACCTTTAAAGCGAAGAGAAATTGTACAGCAACAATTGGAATATTTGTAAGCCTCTTAGCACTGTGAAAGAAGGAAACCATGACAACCAGTTTCTGTTGCCGATTGGTATAAGAGCAGACATCTTGCAAATTTTGAAAAAGAATGCCCTGCCGAATCGATCGTCGATTTTTATGCAACGCAGCACAACGAATACCCAATGGTCCATCAAAATTCTTCACCACGCACCCTAAAAAATCCCAATATGTCGCCCTACTAGTGCATTCCAAAACTAGATTCGAATCATAACACTTTTCAAACATCGCCAACAACTCGTAGCCTCTGCGAATTGAAACAGCGTCCCCTTCCCGGTACTTGATAAACAAGGAAACGTCATCGATCAATCGTATTCCATGTACCAATTTACGATCCACTCCCAAGCTCGTTAAGAAGGTGAACTCAGAGAAAGAACAAAGCAGGCAAGCCATGGCAGGGCTAGAGAATTCTCCCATTGGAATTCCCACAACCTGCTGCAAGATTTTCCCTGAAGCAGAAAGGCACGTGTTCTCCAAATCGAAAATCACAAATTGTCTTAACAAATCAAACTGAACCCCTTCCCATCCCTCAGACACTCTACTCTACCACAGCTTCGCATCCTTCCCTCGCTTCCTCATCAACACACCCTTAGCCCCAGACGAAATCCAATAGTCCACCACCCAATCGAAAGCGACGAGAATAGATGAATGGGGGAGGTTGCAGAACATCTCCTTAACGTCATAAGCGGCAGTAATCCATCGATCACCGTTCTTCGAGTCCTTATTAACATTCCTCAGGCTCTCAGGCAAAAGATCAGTACTTCGCAAGTTAAAATTCGAACGCTTCGGGAGCTCCCAGATCATAACATTAACAGCCTGCGAGACCTTCCGACAAGCTCTGACACAGTAATCGGAGAAGGTGGGACAAATTGACCTCCACTTATTAATGTCTTTATGCTTTGGAATAGCATAGGCAGATCCCAGCTTTCCATCCTTCTTCCATTTGGCCAACCTCATCAAGTTCAATCCCATGTAATCGTTCTCTAGTGCAGTCATCAACACGTTCTCTGTTTGCTCAACAAGGCGAAATCCTGGATTGTTAAAAAACAACTTATCCATACCTTGTTGATATATCAAGGGACAACAGACCAGAGTATCGCCGGGATTATTATCGATAGGAACTTTGACAAAACCATCCAGACGAGTTTTCCACAGTAAGACGTTCTCCATGCAGTATGGGTTGGAGCAATCACTTCGGCCCTCCACCATGCAAGTCTTCAAATCATCTTTTGAAAAAGCAGGGACAGAAAGATTCAGTTCATTTACCGACTCCCCTAATTGTTTACCCAACAAACGTAGAACATCCCTCTTAGAAGGCTCGGGTACATTCTTATTATTCTTAAGCCAGGCTGGAGCATCACCAAAATCATTAAGTCTAAAACAGACGTGGCCATTCACTTTAGGAAAACCCTGCTCCGACATCGAGCAACAACAACAAACAATTCCCTCCCCCCGTGCAGCCGTTCTAAAGTCGAACAGCACATCACCAATACTTTTATTCTTCAGCCAGACAACCCTCATACGTCTGACCAACATCTCCTTCCATCCCTGAATAATATCGGATCCCCTGATCAAAGATTTACAAAATTCCCTAATTCGAGGCTTACTGAGACGCTTATCATAGGTCACCCGCACCACCAATCTTTTCCTCACATTCAGACCAAAATTCCTCAAGATCGCATTAGACAGAATGAGGCGAAGAGAGCAGCGTGTACGTTTCTCAGAAAAGCATCGGATTGCAGAAAAGGAGGCGACCAGCAGTGAGAGATCCAATGAAGACAATTCCTTCCTAGAGGGGGGATTAGCGAGTAAATTACTGAGTGCAGGTTTTAACGAAAGATAGCGAGCCCCAAAGAAAACAATAGACGAGATGAACACACAACTGCCAGCTCGAAACAAACCCTTGCACTTACGAAGTAACTCAATACCACCCCCAAAATCCACGACAGATGATCCGTATTTGCGTTTAACTACCTTCCAATTCTCAGGCCATCTTCCACCGTCAGCACAGTAGATACCAACCGCCGAAACATGCTTCTATTTGCAGTCCTCGAAAATCTTGGAGATAGATGTCGAAATCAACCTAGTCGTTGAATGAAAGATTAGATGGTTATCGATACCCCTACCCAACTCATTCGGGGCCACAGTCTTAGATCTCTTCCTTCTCTCTCGTTTACCCAACCTTTTTCTCTTACCCTTCGCAACTCGATCCCTACTGTTCAAATGAGGATTCACAAGACGGATAATATTACGTTCGAACTCCAACAAATCATCCTGTTGGCAGTAGAATAGTGGCAAAGCAACGTATTGTCCTACCCCACATCTACGCATCCAAGAACACAATCTATGATTCCTGCACCCGTCGTCAACCACCTTATCATTAATAGCACGGTAAACGTGTTCTACCCAACGAGCTGAGAGAGTGCGATAAGTAGATCCCACATACACATGCCTGTTCTATGGCGAAATAAGTATATAGACTAAAGGCCCACAACATTCTTCCAAATCCTCCTTACAGGCAATCAGTTCCAGATAATTATGAAATTTCAGACCCCAAGGGATCAAACCATCCAAGATAAGTCGAAGCACAACCGAGCAATAGAAGCCATTAAATTCCTTATCACGCACGTAGTCCAGGGAGCAAATCCGAGGGGAAGTAGAAGTCAAAGACCTTTCAGACTAAGACAAAGGGAGACAATCGGTACTCACACACGAGTCAGATTTCAGAACAATAGATGCCTGTCGTTGGTTTCTACAAAAATCAGCTAATCTCCACAAATACGCCGCGTCCGGGAATCGACCTAGAGTTCTATCGAGGCATCATGTGCATCCACAGAAATACCCACCTCCTGCGTAGATTCAGAGTCAATGACAACAGTTTCCCTGTTTCTTGTAGGAAAACTTCCAAAAGCTTGCATGGCACGATGCTCAGCAATCGCATCAATCATGGCATCAACCTTACCAGTACCAAGCCCGGCCTCCTTACACAGCGTCTCCAGTCCTGATTTGCGAATTTGTCCAAGCTGCTTCTTTTGCTTCTCAACAAAGGAAGAGCGATCGGTGGTCTTCTTGGTCCCATCTCGATTAGGAGTAGCTTTCTTGCCTTTGCGCGCCGAACGAAGTGCTACTGCTTCAAGTTTCTCCTTGAGATTAGTGCCTCTTCCTGTCTTCTCAGCCTCACGATCCTCCGCAGACAACTCACTCATCTTCTTCTGCAGATTCAAAACCTCCGACGCTGCCATAGCGTGTTTCTTTTTCAGCATCTCTACCTCAGCAAAGTCTGCGCGCCTCAACTCCTGCAATTTACGGTATTCAGCCTTCCACCTGTCGGCACCATCCTGCCCCAAATCGGTCCATCGTGCTCTAGGAGTTCCTCGATTAGTAGCATCCGGAGTGCTCAAAGCTATGTTGCCGCGTTTATTACCTGGCCGCATAGCTTCATCCTTCCACCGTTGAGATTCATTCAGTGCTCGCTCACTCTGCCCTCTCAATACAACTAGCTCACTCTTGAGGTCAGCTAGCTCTCGCTCAACGTCCCCCCTGGCACTGGCCGAAGATCGGAGCTGCTCGATCTCCTGACGGATCGCCGCCATCTCATCCTCCTTAGTGTGCTTAGTAGCCACCAACGTTTGAAGTTCCGCCAGTCCCTTTTTAAGTTTCTCTACGTGACTGCTTTCTCCGCCACTGAGCAATGCTCGTCGCAAATCCTCATTCTCCTTCTTGAGCCGAGTAACCTCATCCTCCGAGGAATCCCCTTGCTTGGTTCTACCCATCACTTTGTCCATACGTTGCTCCAATCGCACACCCATGTCTTCTTTGAACTTTTCACGTTCTTTCTTCCACTGTGCACGTCGTTCTTCCTCCTCCTTCTCCCGTTTCATTCGTTCTTCCTCCTCCTTTTGCCTCTTCTCCTTTTCTTCATCTGCCAACAGTTTTCCGAACACCCTATCGAGTTTTCCTTGATTACTCTTCCAGAAGTTAGCACGAGGAATACCGCCATAGTGATGACTACCAGTACCAGCAACATGCACACCCGCGTTAGTTGCCGAACTCTGAGGGGCCGGAAGGGTAAGAAGGGGAGGCCCAGTAGGTACAGCGTTGGCTCCTGTAGCCGGGGGCCGAGATCCCCCATTACCCTGCGGACACTCACGAAAAAAGTGGTGAGGATATCCGCATGTGTAACATGTCCTAGACGGAAACTGCGAAGCCATATGGAAAGAGATAAAAACGAACGAAGAATATAACAAACCAAAGCAACAAGCAAGCACAGTCAACCAAACGTCAGTTAGCATATGACACGCAAGTCACCCACTCGTAGTATAATTCCTACGGTGGTTACATTGCCGAAAGGATGTTGGTGAAGATTCACATACATCCGACCAATAGCAAACCGAAGTGGAAACAATAACATGCAAAGGATGAAAACAGACAGAAGGAATAGGCATAAAAGAAGCAGAGGGAAGATGATAGAAAATTAGAATCAACACGTTGCGTCACCAAACTCCCGAACGCAGCGGGATGAGCCATAAAAAATCATGAAGTACAAGGCTCATCAAAGTTCGAACCAAAGGTAGGCGTCACGCATATCATCATCAATATTCATGCGAGCAGCTGGCGGATGACCCGACGTTTCGTCCCATCGCCAGAACAAGGACTCATCAGGGGTCTTTCAGCGAACGGCGGAGATAGTAATGACTACGAGTCGACAGGTATTAATAGAAAGGTCCTACCGGTAGACCTATGTTACGAACTAGCCCAAGTCACAAAGTACCTGTCAAAAGATCGAAACAACGCGAGAGTACGAACCCAAAAAAATTGAGGCAAGGTCCTAAACCGCTATCCCCAAAGTCAGTTGAATGCGATACAACTAAAAAGCCGGTCCAGAAAGCTCGCCAGATTGGGGCCTCTCAAATTCAGTCCGCCTGGGCCCTC